TAGAAATTGGGCTGTTGTAATCCATCAAAACTGTAGTAAGCCACCTTAAAACACGAAATGGAGAAATGGAACTGCCGTTAGCCTAAATAGCGCTCAGGTTAGCCTAAATATCATTGACTCGACAGTGGTTAGCTCTTAATAATTATAAGGGTTAGCCCTTACAGACACCCTTATCCCACATTGATTCTTAGCTGTAATGCCCTTTCGTTACTTCGCCATTTCATGTTTTAAACACGCTCAGTTAAAAGAATCTTTTCTTACCTGAAAGAGCAATCCACTGGAAAATGTACATATCTTTCCAGTCTTTAGTTTGTTTGTTCAGGAAAACCAAAGTGTAAGGACATCCTAAGCTGTGACTAATCAAAGTGATTTTCTTGTTGCCGTTTGCTGAGTAGGTGTCCTCGACCAGTTTCTTTAGTTTGGCAAAATATCCCGACTGTGATTCTGTCGAGGAACAAATATAACCTGGTTGAACCATCAGTTCTCCCTACTTGTTACCATACATTTCGTTTTATGTGAGTTTTGAGAGTTTGTTATTGCATCGAGACAAAGTACCCGTGTCATTGATTTTCTTTGGCCGCGTTAGCCATTCGAAATTCGTTTCTTTCCTCAACCTCGATCCTAGGGTCCTCTCTCTCGAGGTAAAGAGAGGAACTTGGGAACGAGGTTGCTCTTTTACGTCATCATGCGTCAAGCACGCACTGGTCACGTGCTACCTACCAGGGAGAAACCAGAAACTGCAAGGGACCGCATACGATAAACGCTGCCAACGTAGGATCTACAAGAGATCTGATCAGCCAAAAAAATGTATGAAGACAAACAATAGACTGCAAGGCTGATACTACGTGAAAAACGTTTCGAGACACCAACATGACAAACTGTTGCGATCCTACTTTATCGATTCTTGTCATGTTGGTGTCTCGAAATGTTTTTCACGTAGTATCAGCCTTGCAGTCTATTGTTTGTCTACCTACCAGGCCCATATCGGAAGTCATACGGAGCTGCTTTGACGGTCACGCCTCGTTCATATCCCCAAGACACAAGCTTGTTTACCACTGGTGCAAAATATTTTATCAAGTTGTCGGTATCCAAGTATTCTATTGTGTTCGTGTCTCCAAATCCGGGAACTCTCGTTTCCACGCCAGGCGCGTTCTTCACAGTCTTGGTGTTTTCGTCGTACACAAGCCTAAAGTTCGTTGGAGTGGAAAAGAAATGAAAATTCATTTTCAAGTCGAAGGCGTATAACTAGTGGGCTGTCCTTTAAGCAGAAGTGAGCCTAGAGTTTGTTTTTAATATCAAGAAGAATCTTGCTGACGTTCAAGTTTGCTTGTTTCTGATCTCCTTCAAATCAAGGCCAACCCAATTCAAGAACACGTAATGGCCGGGTCACGAAATGACCGAGTCACGCAATGACCGAGTCACTCAATCAGCGAGTCATGCAATCTTTAGAAAGCAAAGATTACGTGACGAAACAAGGTCCATAGAGCTCATAAAAAGGGAGACTAACTGTGACCCAACAATGCATAGTGAAAAATACCCAAAAAGCAACCATAAGAGAATATGCGAGGAGATAACGACTACCAAGGTAATTAATTTTGAACCAAATCCAAAGTTCAACATTTTCCAAGTTTCCATTACCTCATGTTATCTACCCAGCAGTTTATGGCGTAAGGTAGCAGCGAGGATTTCTTGAGCCATAATGTGAAGTAATCTGAGGTTGTTTGGGAACAGTACCAATGTAGAACGCTTGGTTTGTTGAGTTTCGCTTGCAGCTGACTTCCACCGGTACCGGGCACTGGGGAAAAAGTGGAAAAGAAACAGAGAGGTAGACATATATGTGTATCTCGTCAAGGCCCCGTCCACACTACGCGTGAAAAGTTTGAAAACGGCGTTTTCACTCTGAAAACGCAGCAAAAGTTTTCCGCCCACACTACGCTGGAGAAATTTAAAATCGCAAAAATCGCTGCTCATTTGG